AACCTACTAGCGATGGCCTCCAACCTATTGGCGATGTCCAACCTGATAGCGATGGCCTCCAACCTACTAGCGATGGCCTCCAACGCACTAGCGATGGCCTCCAAACCTAATAGCGATGGCCTTCAACCTACTAGCGATGTCGATGTCCAACCTACTAGGGATGGGCTCGGACCTACTAGCGATGTCCAACCTAATAGCGATGGCCTCGAACCTACTACCGATGTCTAACCTACTAGCGATGGGCTCCAGCCTATTAGCGATGTCCAACCTAATAGCGATGGCCTCCAACGTACTAGCGATGTCCACTCTGCTAGCGATGGCCGCCAACCTAATAGCGATGCTCCAACTTAATAGCGATGGCCTCCAACCTATAGAAGCGTTGGCCTCCAACCTAAAAGGGATGGCCTCCAACCTAATAGCGAGGCCCCCAACCTAATGAAAAACTAGCGATGGTCTCCAACCTAATAGCGATGGCCTCCAACCTACTAGCGATGGCCTCCAACGTACTAGCGATGGCCTCGAACCTAATAGCGATGGCCTTCAACCTACTAACGATGGCCTCCAACCTAGTAGCAATCTCCAATCTAATAGCGATGGCCGCCAACCTAGTAGCGATGCTCCAACCTATATAATAGCGCTGGCCTCCAACCCAATAGCAATGGCCTCAACCTAGAAGCGGTGGTCTCCAACCTAATAGCGATGGCCTCCAACCTAGAAGCGATGGCCTCCAGGATAATGGCGATGTCCAACCTAGAAGCCTCCAACGTACTAGCGATGGCCTCCAACCTAATAGCAGTGGCCTCCAACCTAGAAGGGATGGCCTCCGACCTGGTAGCGATGGCCTCCAACCTAGAATCGATGGCCTCCAACCTAATAGCGATGGCCTCCAACCTAGAAGCGGTTGTCTCCAACCTATTGGCGACGGCTTCCAACCTAGAAGCGATGGCCTCCAACCCAATAGCGATGGCCTCCAACCTAGAAGCGATGACCTCCAACCCAATAGCGATGGCCTCCAACCTGAAAGGGATGGCCTCCATGGCCTCCAACCTAGAAGGGATGGCCTGCGACCTGATAGCGATGGCCTCCAACCTAGAAGGGATGGCCTCCGACCTGATAGCGATGGCCTCCAACCTAGAAGCGATGGTCTTCAACCTATTGGCAAAGGCTTCCAACCTGGAAGCGATGGCCTCCGACCTAGAAGCGATGGTCTCAACCTAATGGCGATGTCCAACCCAGAAGGGATGGCCTGACCTGATAGCGATGGCCTCCAACCTAGAAGCGATGGCCTCCGACCTAATAGCGATCCAACCTAGAAGGGATGGCCTCCGACCTGATAGAACGGATGGCCTCCAACCTAGACGCGATGGCCTCCAACCTAAATTGCGATGGCCTCCAACCTAGAAGGAATGGCCTCTGACCTGATAGCGATGGCCTCCAACCTAGAAGCGATGGCCTCCAACCGAATAGCGATGGCCTCCAACCTAATAGCGATGGCCTCCAACCTAGATTTGATGGCCTGCAACCTAATAGCGATGGCCTCCAACCTAGAAGGGATGGTCTCCAACCTATTGGCGATGGCTCTCAACCTAGAAGCGATGGCCTGCAACCTAATAGCGATGGCCTCCAACCTAGAAGGGATGGTCTCCAACCTATTGGCGATGGCTCTCAACCTAGAAGCGATGGCCTCCAACCTAATAGCGATGGCCTCCAGCCTAGAAGCGATGGTATCCAACCTTTTTGCGATGGCCTCCAACCTAATAGCGATGGCCTCCAACCTAATAGCAGTGGCCTCCAACCTAGAAGGGATGGCCTCCGACCTGGTAGCGATGGCCTCCAACCTAGAAGCGATGACCTCCAACCTAATGGCGATGGCCTCCAGCCTAGAAGCGATGGCCTGCAACCTAATACCGCTGGCCTCCAAACTAGAAGGGATGGTCTCCAACCTATTGGCGATGGCTCTCAACCTAGAAGCGATGGCCTCCAACCTAATAGCGATGGCCTCCAGCCTAGAAGCGATGGCCTCCAACCTAATAGCGATGGCCTCCAACCTACAAGGGATGGCCTCCAACCTGATTGCCTCCAACCTATAGAAGGAATGGCCTCCGACCTGATAGCGATGGCCTCCAACCTAGAAGTGATGGCCTCCAACCTAATAGCAATGGCCTCCAACCTAATAGCGATGGCCTCCAACCTAGAAGGGATGGCCTCCGACCTAATGGCCTCCGACCTGATAGCGATGGCCTCCAACCTACAAGCGATGGCCTCCAACCTAGAAGGGATGGCCTCCGACCTGATAGCGATGGCCTCCAACCTAAAAGCAATGGCCTCCAACCTAATAGCGATGGCTTCCAACCTAATAGCGATTGCACCCAACCTAGAAGCGATGGCCTCCAACCTAACTGCCATGGCCTCCAACCTATAGAAGGGATGGCCTGCGACCTGATAAGGATGGCCTCCAACCTAGTAGAAGGGATGGCCTCCGACCTGATAGCGATGGCCTCAGGAGCGATGGCCTCCAACCTAATAGCGATGGCCTCCAACCTATATATATATATATAGAAGGGATTGCCGACCTGAGAGCGATGGCCTCCAACCTAGAAGCGATGGCCTCCAACCTAATAGCGATGGCCTCCAACCTATATAGCAATGGCCTCCAACCTAGATGCGATGGCCTCCAACCTAATAGCGATGGCCTACGACCTGATAGCGATAGCCTCCAACCTAGAAGCGATGGCCTCCAACCTAATAGCGATGGCCTTCAACCTATACAGAAGGGATGGCCTCCGACCTGGTAGCGATGGCCTCCAACCTTGAAGCGATGGGCTCCAACCTAGAAGCGATGGCCTCCAACCTATATAGCGATAGCCTCCAACCTAATAGCGATGGCCTCCAACCTATATCGAAGGGAGGGCCTTAGAGATGGCCTCCAACCTAGAAGCGATGGCCTCCAGGCTAATGCCGATGTCCAACCTAGAAGCCTCCAACCTAGAAGCGATGGCCTGCAACCTAATAGCGATGGCCTCCAACCTAGAAGGGATGGCCTCCAACCTATATAGCGATGGCCTCCAACCTAATAGCGATG